TTCCATCCCTGCCCTCTGAACTGGTATATTACTAAATTACAACTCTATATATAATTTTTGAAAACAGTTTATGAACAAATCTTCAGTATTTGAAGTATTCCAACGTCTGGAGGTTGGTGTTTTTACCAGTCAGAGTGTGGCTGTGGATGTATGAAGTAAGAAGTAACCCGGTGGTTTGGATGGAACAGGGAACAAGTAAAATATAAACTCCATGAGGGCAAGGGTTTGGTTTGTTGTATTCACTGCTGTTTCCCCAAAACCCAAAAAAACAGGACTCCGTAAATTACCTGTTTAATGAACCAGTCTAAGATTTTTCCTTTTCTCTTCGTGGCACACAATTACGATGTACAGGGTAGCGTAATACTTGAAGATTCTCAGAACCAGTGTACAGGGAGAGAGAGACTCTGTGGCTGCCCTCTTTCACTCTTCAGTAGAATTCTGGACTACAGTCTAAGGCTGAACAGTTTTAATACACTGGTCCAAACCAACGTAGTTAAGCACTTCAGCCTGTTGATCTAAAAACAAGACATATTAAGGCCAACTTGAGGAACTTTCTGTTACACACTCTCTCTTATAGCTGCATTGCTCCCATCCACATCAGTCATCACCGCTGTGTTTCATAAGGTCTGTGACTGCATTTGACCAGTCTTCATAGTATGTTAATCTCTTAACAATCCACAGTATGCTGCAGGCTTAATGAAGAAAAAATGAAAGTTACCTTTTATTCTTTGCTTGCATTGGTTTTTTAAAATTGTTACATGTGGTTTGTGCATATGTCCTGAAGCTTATGGCAGTGAGCCTGTGGTTGACGTTATCGGCTGTTCTCGGCATGAACGTTCTGAGGGAAGATCAGTTCTCTCCGGTCCTTCATCTTCACCCTGCCCTGCTTCTGCTTGTGTGCCTCGGAGTCCTGCACACAGTGGTTGTTCGCTACAAGCACCTCCTGATGTCTGTTAACCATTAACTTGGGCTGTAGCCCACTCACCACTTGTGTGTGCCTTCAGTTCCTGTAGCCAGTGCAGCTGTTCCGAGTGAAAGACAAGGGCACATAGTGTTAGCCTGTGCCCAGTGTTTTCACTACGCTTTCTCTGAATCATCCCTGCTGCTCCGTGAGTGCTAGATGGTGCCCCACCTTACAGATGAAGGAGCTAAGGCTCAAAAAGGTTAAGTCCCTTGCTCGGGGTGACAGCTGCCTTGTAGAAAGCCATCATTACCTGTCCATTCATTTTACCACTTTTTTTAAATGTCTCTTGCGTTATTACATCTGAGCATACAGTCATGGTGAGGACAAGTCTGGTCCCTAGAATTTCCATGGGACTGGATGACACACAAAATTGAAGAGGCCATTATAATAGGTTTGGTGGGTGCTATGATAGGAGATTTACATTGCCTTAGAGGAAACACCCAACCCAAATTGAGGGAGCCTGGAAGTGATTTTTCAGGGGAAGTCCTGTTTTAAGCTTAGACCTGAGGAATGGTTAAGTTAGTCACCAGCTGTGTGTGTGTGTGTGTGTGTGTGTTGGTATGGAGGAAGGAACGCAAAGGGAGTTTAGACTTAAAAAAGAGTGTTGGTGTGTTTGAGGAACTGACACCTGTTCATTATGGCTGGATTGTAGCAAGGGAACTGGATGAGACGAGACAAGAGAAGTAAGTGTGGCACAGTGAGGTACCTTGTCAGCCTTGCTGGGGGTTTCAGCCTCATCACAGGAGCAGGGCAGGAGGGGGGCCTTTTAATGATGAACGGTGTGGTTCATGCTTAAATGAGGATAAACAGGAAAAGTACATTGTGGGGTTTTTTTCTTGAATTTGTTGTAACCATCGTCACATATTTATGAGCATATCCTGAAATTTACTGTAAGAAGTCTTTGAACAGACAAATCTGTCTTCAACATGGGCAGGTATAAAAGGAAAGGCAGTTGTTCTCCTCAGCTCCATCACTTAATCTTTCCCATAAGATGTACATAGTTTAAAAGTATAATTAAATATATAAGCATTTAACCATCAGACTTTGTGAGACAACTCATCAATTCAAGATGAAGTGAGCTGTCTGCAGGTTTACCGTCACAGAGTTTAAACCACTACGGTGGTGGTCTCATTTCAGCAAATGTTGCCACTTGGCTCACTCATGCTATTTTGAAAACGACAGCTGGTAGGTGATTCTAATCATTTTATCATTTCTTTTTCAGCAGAAGAAATCTTTGAGACTGTTGGGGATCGTGAGCTGCGCCAAATCTTTGAAGGACAGAATCGCATTCATCTTGAAATCAAGCAGCTCAACCGACAGTTAGATATGATTCTTGATGAGCAGAGAAGGTACGTCTCCTCCTTGACAGAGGAGCTCTCCAAGCGCGGAACCAGAGACCCGGGGCAGCCTGGACAGGTAAGCCTTCCATGGAGGCATGGGAGCTTGCGTAGCCCTCATGGGAGGAGAAGGAAGGAAAAGCTGCTGTCCTGCAGATTGGATGTTACTGAGCTGGCTGGTGGTCTTTTTTCCTTTTTCTTTTTTTCCCTTAGATCTCTCAACAAGAAGTGGATACAGTAGTGAAAACTCAACATGAGATTCTGAGACAAGTAAATGAAATGAAGTGAGTACATAGAAGTAGTGGCCACATATTAAGTGACATCTTTATCTAAGGTCCATGCCTTCTGTACTTGTGCATGTACTGGGGGTGTCTGCCTAGGACTGAGGATCACATGTTAGATTCATCTGCTCAGTCGGGGAATGGAAGGCACAGTAACTGACAGTTTAGGAACCACAGACATGTCTGAGTATTTTAATTGTTCTCACCTGGGGGAAAACCCAACCCTTAGCCTCTTTAAAAATAAAGGTTGGTCCCAACTATTGGACAGAACCAGACTTAAAATATAAAAAGAATTAGAGTACATTTAACAATTCAATGAGTAATACTAGGGGTGTAAGTGTGCATGGCATCATAGGACCATAATACAAGCATAGTTGGCGCCGGAAATTCTTTTTCAAGGAAAAGAATGGTTTTCTCTTTGAAGAAGAATAATCCTTTTTAAAACCATTTTGAGTAAATACACTATATATGACTACTTTTTCATTCCTGTCTTGTGCCCTAATAAAGATTGGACAGAGTGTTGGGACAGAAAAGAGCTCTCCTTGAAACACTGAGTGCTAAGTTTCCAAGAAGATTCAGTGATACAGATAATTAATGGCTTTCCATTCTTGGAGAAGAGAAAAGCCGAAGTGGTCTGTTTTCATAAGTCAGTGCTCTACAGCACTGCTCTGGCCACTGCTGCTCAGTCGATTCCAGCTCGTCGTGGCCATATGGGCAGGGTAAGGCCCCCAGTTCCCAGGACGGGGATTTGCAGAAGCAGACTGCCTCATCTTTCTCCCGCAGAGCAGCTAGTGAATTCAAACTGCCAGCGCTGCAGTTAGCAGCCTGGTACTCTAACTGCTGCTCTACGAGGTCTCCCCACCTGTTACAACCCTTGACAAACAAGAATGTCAAGATGAGTTCCTTAGGACTGGAAAGTTGGACAAGATTAGATTAAACAGAATGGGGTGACAGCTGACAAATAATCCTGAAAGAATGGCCACAGGCACACATACGTTTTCTGGCTTTCCACTGAGAGGGCCTAGGGGCAGTGATACCCCAGTAGTAATGGGCACACCTACGACACAGACCCTGATTTCTAAATACCATTCTTCTGGAAAAGGCACCAGAGCTCCTTGGAAGAGTAGTTGATTCCAGGGTCAAAGCTTAAGAAGTACAAGATGAGCCTGGAGTCCAGTGTGGTCGAGCTCGAAAACCTGGAGACTGGTTGAAAGAACACTGAAGCTGACTAAGCTCCTAATGCCCAGAGCTGGAGTTAGTTACACAACGAAATGAATAATGATATTGTTGGATTGTAACCAGTAGGATAAAATAAGTACATATGAATCCATACCAATATAAATAATTAATGAAGTAAATAAATGGAGTAGAAGGACTAGCTAACCCTTATAGTAAAATTCCAATTAATAAATGTAAAATGAATGATCGAAATAGAAAACTCACCATATGGCAAATGCCACAGTGATTGCTTCAGGCAAGAAACACCAATGGATGCTAAAATTAGTGGTCGAAAGTTTGAAGTGAAAGACGGTACTTACATAATTTCAGAGTGTCTTCCCCCAAGGCATTTATTAGTTATAAAATTTCTCTTTAGGACTGGAATGTGAAACGAGATTAAATTAAACAGAATGTGGTGATGGCTGTCAAACAATCCTGCAAAGAAAATGGCTGAGGGCACACTGTGGATACACACGTGTTTATTGGCTCCCCTCTGAGAGGGCCTAGAAGCAGTGATACCCCAGTAGTAATGGGCACACCATTATAGTTTTCTTCACTTGTTGCCATCACACCTTAGAAGGTATTTTTCTCTAGAGTTCTGTGTAGCCCTGTTCTCATTGACCTGTTCCCTAATCTCCTTCCACCACAGTCCTGTCCCCATGGAACCCTCCTCCTCAGCGCTGGGGGTGCCTCGCCGAGCGAGGTGCATCTTTGTCTGTAAAGCGGTAGGCGTGCTCTGTCACCCTGCTCTCCTGCTAGGTGACTAGTCCCTGCAGGGCCAGGATTCTGTTTTCCTAGCACAGTCTGTAGTCCTACAAAATGCCTGCCTCGTCATAGCATGTATGAAGTGAATCTTAGCAAACTCAACAAGCAAATGATGATATAGGAACATACCACGTGACTCGGTCTTTGTACATTATGGAGATCTAATATGTAGGCACGTTCATGCTCTGGCAAGCAGTATTTGTAAATGCAATTGTGAGAGTTGCATTCCGGGGCATTTTATTCTTAAGTATTTTAGCTTTATGAAAATATAAACCTTAATTTAGGTTTTAATGTAAAAGCTTAACTCGCGTGAATTTGCTAGAGCTTGAGTGCTATTGAGGTTAATCAATATATGGCATTTACTGAGACCACCTGAGATGTTATGTTACAAGTTTTGAAGCCTTAAGGGCTCATGTAACTCGTAGTTTTTAAAAACTTTTATTGTTAACGTTCAGCTTGGCATATTGTTCATTTCTGAATAATTCTAAGATTTGAGTTGCTCTGTTTTTACTCCTCCAATAAGGCTTTCAGTTTTTAAACTCAATTTTATTCTAAGGAAATAAATTAGATAGCTTATTTAGTCATCCAAATTGAACTGTTAACTATGAAAGGCAATGTTAGGAAATCCAGAGATATGATCCTTATTCTCAGGGCGTTTATGATACATGAAGGATGTGACCCATATATTATAAATAAGAATAGCAAGTAGTAAGAGAAAGTGTGTGTGTGGTATGTGCAGGGTGTGATTGCATTTGACAGGGAAACAAAACTGTAGAGGAGATGTAGTATATTTTAGACTACAGATACTAGGGGTGGGAACTGGGGTGGGGTCCTAACTAGAAAGAACGTCACAAAGACGTCGAGGCTTAAAAGTGGAAGGACAGCTACAGGTCACTTTAGGAGCCAAGGTAGATGAAAGGGGGTAGTGGGAGATAACTTGAAAGATAAGCTGCAGACAGACTGTAACTCACTCACTGCCGTGGAGTTGGATCTGACTCACAGCAACCCCTCATTGTGTTTCCAAGGCAGTATCTCTACAGAAGTAGCTTGCCCAGTCTTCCTTCTGAGGAGTGGCTGGTGGGTTTGAACTGCCAGCCTTCTGCTTAGCAGTCAGATGCGTTAGGCACTACACCACCAGAGCTCCTTGAAAACAGACTATAGAGACCCTTAATTTTTTTTTTTTATTACTGTGGCCATTTTCAAATATACACAGAAGTCGAGGGAATAGTGGAGTACACTCTGCGTACCATCAGTCACCTTTCATAATTATCAACAGTTTGTCAAACCAGTCTTTAGCTACCTTACCAAAAAAAAAAACCCCAGACATAGATATTTTTTATGTAGATACTAATAACATAAACTACTTGGCATTTATAGAGCTGTTTAAGTATTCTTAGGTAAAATAACCAAATTTTTAAGGTAAATTAAAATTCATATTCATTCCTTTATTTTTTAATAAATGTTGGTTGGGTGCCGGTGAGTCAAATCCTACTCAGCGTGACCACGGATGGCAGAATAGAGCTGCCCTGCAGGGTTTTCTGGGCTGTAATCTTCATGGAAACAGATCTCCAGGCCCCTCCCACAGAGCCACCTGGTGGATTTGAACTGCCAACACTTTGGTTAGCAGCTGAGTGCTTAACCATTGCACTTCTCCAAGTGAAGTCAGATGCCTCACACTTTGTTTTCTCAGTAACAGTATATGACACAGCACATAAGAAGTGTTGGGTCAGTCCTGTAGGCATGGAGCACCTGCGTGACTACCCTAGCCACTCCTGGAGGTCATTCTGATCCAGACCTCCAGGCAGCCAAATCCAGGAGGTCACTGTGAGTCACATAGCATAAACTGTCTGGTGTGGCCCAAGGCCCCAGGTATATAAAGATACTTTTATCAGACAGTATATTCCAAGGGTTTACGGTTTATCTCCCAGGAGCCTGTCAAGAACCAGTACTAAAGACCTTTGGAATATGCAGCATGTGGACATCACAGTCCCACTGAGTTAACCATTCACTACTACATTGAGCATCTACAAGGGTTTCTTATAAGTTCACTAAGAATATCCACTGTCATTTTATTCAATAACCATTTATAAAGGAGCCCTGGTAGCACAGTGGTTAATCACTCAGCTGCTGGCTATAAGAAGTCAGTAGTTCATGGGAGAAGAGATCCGGCACTCTGCTTCTGCACAGCCTTGGGCGTCCTATGGGGCCATTCTGCCTTGTTCTGTGGGGACGCTGCCAGTCAGAACTGACTCGGTGGCAGTGTGTTACCGAGTTGTCCTTATGATACTGGTTTTAACACATTCATTAATAGAATTCTCTATGTGGTTAATTTTAGATGACATGATGGTAAATTGTTGGTCTAGAAATTATTTCCCTATTTGGAAGACAATTCTGTTTTTCTAAATGTTGATTTTTAAGATCTAGTATATCGATCTTAGAAATGTGTGTAACCCTTGGAAAGCTGTAACTGACACAGTCATCTTCACAGTAATCCCATTGTGTAAAGGGGCTTTCTATTTCAGGAATTCCATGAGTGAAACCGTCAGACTGGTCAGCGGGATTCAACATCCTGGTCCTGTAGGCATTTATGAGACCACACAGCACTTCAACGACATCAAAGAGCACCTTCACATAGTGAAGAGGGACATAGACAACCTCGCCCAGCGCAACATGGTGACGCTTCCCTTTCTGCTCTAAAAGTGGCCATCATCCCCTTTAAGAAAGGAAGACTTACTCTGCCTTATTCCGCTGAAAGTATTTTCACTTTTGCTAATGCTCATTGTTAATGTTCAAGGTTGAATTAGAACGCACCAGGCTTCCATGATTCAGTTGAATAGAATTTTATAAAATAATATGTTGTTCCAATTGGTACAACTATCACAATCCCAAATTTTTTATGTTCTAGATTCTCTTCTGTAAGTCTTAAAAAAAAAATTACCTCTTGTGGTAATAATGTCCTTAAACATCTTGAGAAAGGTAAATGTCTCTGTTGGCAAACCCCTTTGTTAGACAAACCAGAGCTGATGACTCCATGCATTTCTCCGCACAGGCTGTTAGGAAGCCCAGATCTGAAACTGGGGGCATGAGAGCTGCTTTTCAAGCAGGGTTTACCATTCTTACTTGAATCCTCTGTTTTTAAAGCTCCCCCCACCCCCACCCCATAAGTATCATCTACATTTTGAAGCTCTAGTAGCAAGTGCCTAAGGCACTTGACTGCTAACCAGAAGGCTGGTGGTTCAAACCCACCAGCCACTCCTCGGAAGGAAGGTTGGGTGATCTACTTCTGTAGTGATACTGCCTCGGAAACCCAAGGAGGGGTCGCTGTGAATCGGATCTGACTCGATGGCACATGACAACAACAACAACATCAACATGTATGGTCATGTGCAGGAATCTCTGCGTGCACAGACGCTTAAGCACTCCCCTTGACTGCTAACTGAAGGGGCCAGGGGTACCGCAAGTCCAGAGCCACCTTGGGAGACAAGCCTGGTGACCTGCTTCTGAAAGTCACTGCTCGAAAACCCCGTGGAGCCCAGTTCTTTGCACCCATGGGTTCGCCATGAGTCCAGATCCCCTTGATGGCAGCTACCAATGGTGGCTCTCATCCGGGGGTGATTTCCCTGCCAGGGGACGCAGGGCAGTGTCTGCAGGCAGTGGGTTGGTGAGTGAAAAGGTGGGAGCCTTCTAGCATAAACTGCTCTTTCTAGAAGTTTAATAGTAAAAGTTAAGGGAACAGAAGATACTAATGGCATGAATATGAAAAGGAAAACACTTGAGTGAACTATGAGTTTTACAGAAATTTATTTTACCATAATGTAGATCTGACCGATTATAATAGAAAGTTTTTTACCTTTTAGCCATCAAATGAAAAACCAAAGTGCCCAGAATTACCACCATTTCCATCATGCTTATCAACAGTGCACTTCATTATATTTGTAGTGGTGCAAACGGTGTTATTCATTGGTTACATCATGTATAGGTAAGTCTCTAGATAAAATTTGACCAAATGTTTTTCTCTGTTTAATGGGAAATACTCAACAAAGTTGTCTATACATGTAACAGAGCCTTCCATATTTATGAAGTTTGCTTTGTGAAAAGGACGTAGTGTTTCTAGTCTGTTTCAGTTCACATGGGCTTGCATGTATAGCATTTCTGCTTATTTTAATGTTTTTTATGATTCAAAAAGGCATTGATTATTTTGATTTTAAGAGATCCTGTTTCTTTTACCTACTTGTTTCAGTGTTGCCTTTCTTTCTCCCCCTCACCCACCCAAATTAGGACTCAGCAAGAAGCAGCTGCCAAGAAGTTCTTTTGACCCCAGTTCTGACGTGTGTCCACCATGTATGTACAGAAGTTCTGATGTGTCCGTCATGTATGTATGTACAAAAGGTTGTCTTTTTGAGAGGATTTAAGTATTTAAACTGCTTCATAGTCTAAATTACTAAATTTTGTAAAAAGTAACTATTTAAACATTGATTTGCAGAAAGAATAAATCTTTGAACAAAGATGAGTACATGTAAAATTGTGCATGGTAAAAATCTGTGTAAATGCCAGTGAATTTCTGGTCAGTGAAATTTCTAGCCGCTGAGCAGAAAATTGACAGGTTAGAGGGTTAATGAAGACCCTGGGGCAGCCCCTGGGGTACCTGAGTCTCCAATGTTAGAGAGTTCTTTATTTAACATCAACACACCTTACCTCCGTGCTCCTGAAATGTCAGGTCCAGCTAAGAGCCCCCATCATGTTTATTTTGTAACTAAAGTTTTTAGACAGAAGTTCGTAGTCCAAGATCCAGCCCTGCAGTTGTTTAATCTTCACTACAACTCCCTTTGAAATCAAAGAATATTTTGTCTGAGAGCTTTAGAATCTGGAATGTTTCTTGAAATATTTTCCCTCCCGACTCTTGATGGTATATTTCACTTTTAAAGGAAGTGTTTGGGAAAATTGCTGCTCTTTGCTTAAGAAACCGTTTAGATGAAAATGTACTTCTGGTCGTGGGTTTTCTGGGTGTTTTGCCTGGTGATGTAGTCACTTCATGATTGCCTATACTCCTAATGTCTTCATTCCAACAGTGCCGTTCAGTATTGGGAAAATTATTTTTCATTTACATTTGTGATTTAAGGAACGTACTTCCTCCATCTGGTGCAGCACATGAAGACAGCTTACATTGCGTGATCTGAGAATATTTGAAATCCACAGAACCTACCACCACACTCTGCTTTATGTTAACTACTCTCTGTACCCTGGGCTTGGTGACTGCATCTTATGTTAAATCATGGAGACTAGTAAAGCAGTTTCAGGGTTTTAAGAAAAGAGTTAATACTTCTGATTTCCTTTTTTAAGTACCAGAGCAAGAACTAAGGATATTTTGAAGCTCCTGGTACCAAGCTTCACCTTGAAATGTCAGACTGGAAAGGTTTCTGTATCTTTGAACATAGTTGTAGATATTATAGAAACACTCTGTAAATGACATTTGAGTGCAGGTGTCATTTTGTTTTCACAGCTGATGGAGACTTCTTTTGCTGGGTTCAAAATATTGTTTACCTCTTTAGCTAAAGTAGTCATCTTTCATTTGTCGTAGAACCTGAAATAATACTACTTTCTAAAATAGGACTATTTATTTTTTCCAAGCCTTCCCAAGTTTGTTCTCAAATGTCATTTTCCGATTGGGCCAACGGCTCAAGATCTATACAAAGACTTTGTGAAGGAGCCGTGCTTTACGTGGTTCTTGTTGTTGTTTGGTGACGTTGGGTCAGTTCCGACTCATGGCGACCCTGTGTACAGCAGGACGAGACACTGCCCGGTCCGTCCTCACACTCGCTGCTGTGTTTGAGCTCATGCGTTAAAACAACACCTAATTACTGCTGGGTGTGCAGCCTTAGCCTTGCTTTTTCTGTTCGCACTGACTCCAGGAGGCTGGAGGGCAATACTCTGACGCCTCGCCCGCTTCATTTCTTCCACACAGAAAGGGCTTCTCCATGCTTCTCCTTTGTGGTGGTAACATTTCAAGTTCATGTTTCAGAGACGTCATCATCACAGAGTTTACTCTCACCCCCATGAAAAGATTCGGTACGTTCAGAAGAAAAAAGTAGACTGTGAAACTTGGGAGATCCTCTTGAGAAAAAAGGCATCCAAATCCAGTTTTAGGAACCCACGGTCACACGTGCCTGAACGTCTGAGGAGCGCCAGTGCCCACATCAGACATTCGAAGTTCGAGGGATGGTTCGATCCTTCCTGATGCAAGTGGAGACGGTGATTAGGGAAGAGCGTGAGCATGCATCTTTTCCTGTTTGGCTTAGAAAACTAACTCGCTCCAGAATCACTCAGGAAAGCAGGGCACACCAAGTGCTTATCCTGTTGGAAGTTTGATTTCTTCTCTTTGTTCGCTTTAGTTTGTTTCTGAAGAAAAACTTTTGTGGGAGAATCAGTCACTGGCGGGAGTCTTTCATGTCTGTGCTATTTTGTATAATTGAATCTGTTCACTTTCTCCACCAGCAAGTACTTTACAGGTGCCTTGAATTAAAGCAAGATTGCTTTTAAAACGTCCGTGTATGTCATTGTGCTTATGACAGTACCTTTAAAAAGAAAATGCGGTTACATCATGGCTAGTGCCCTCTCTCAGTGTACCTGTTTGTCTTCTAGTTGTTTGAATGTTCTGTTCAGCTTGAAACTTGACTATAAAGCCACAAACAATATCTTGTTGTGTATTAAAGAGATAGCAGTGTTTCTCAAAGTGTAGTCCATGGGCCATCTGTCATGGCATGCTGGTTAAGAATACCGATTCCAGGGCCCAATTCCAAATCACCTGATGTGAAACACGGGTCGGGCTTCAGAATATCCTTGGTCACAGGCGCCACGTGATTCTGAGCACACTGGAGTTTGAGAACCACTACAATGGGGGGAGGAGGCCCTGGGTGGCGCGGTTGGGTAAACGCTCAACTGCCGCCAAACGCTTGGTGATTTGAACCCACCCAGAGGCACCTTGGAACACAGTCCCGACAATCTGCTGCCAAAGGCCCAGCTTTGAAAACCTGTGGAGCGGTTCTACCCTGCACACACGGGGTCGCCATGACTTGAAATCGACTCAGTGCAAACTAATAGCAACAACGGGCAGTGAAAACAGAAATAGCTTTTTTTGTGGGTTTTTTGTTTTGTTTGAAGCTGAGCTAAGAACATGAGACTTTGATTGTCAATGGCATTAGCAGCTGTGCACTGATTCTTGCTACTTAATGCTCTTTTTCTCAAGCGCTTGGTCCATAAGCAAGAACAAACGAAATTCAGATTGTTGCCTGTAGCCCTTGGTAGTTTGGTGATGGCTTTCACCTTCATGTCGTGGTTGAGCAATAGAAGCTCTTTCCCAAAGCCTGCCCACTAAAGCCGTTCGCTTTCCTGATGGTGACTGCTGTGGCATTTTATCTCCAACAGTTGTACTTTTTCATCATTTGGGGAAAACAGAAATTACTTGAATAAGGATTGTCTGGCCCTCTGTGTTTTAGAGATACAATCTTTGTGACAAACATAAATAGCAATTGTGAATAATGAGGTGTGATTCTCTTTCCCTGTCCATGTGCTTATCACAGGGAGAGAGTGAACAAGTGATTCTATCTGGGGATTTTTTTATTTATAGGATTTAATGGGAAATCAACACATGCAACTTTTTAGATCTGTGTGTTGCCTGTTTAATATATTTCTTTTGTAGATATTAAAGTTTAAAAGGTTTTTCTATCCAGTGTCAATTTCGATTCAATAACATTTTGTCGAGTTTTTCTCCTCTGATTGTTACTTGATGCTAGCTGGAATTCAAAATATGACAGTGACCTTATTCAAATAAAGAAATATTTTAGTAACTTTAGTTCTTCCTTTCTTGACTTCAAAACTAAGTAGCTGTTTATTTTGTCAGTCGGCCCTGATTCGTGATGTGTCCTTTGTCATGGACTGTCCTCTCTGTCCTGGGTGACTGCCACATGACAGCGTAAGGGATAACATACACATGAAAGTGGACAAAGGTTTGTTCTTGTTGCAAATGAAAAATACACATTAACTAAAACAATATATTTGATATTTTTCACTTTTAGTAAGCAAATGCTGGTTTTTGTTGTCATGTGCTGTCAAGTCAGACCCAACTCATAGCGACCCCTCCTTGGGTTGCCGAGGCAGTATCACTATGGAAGTAGATTTCCCAACCTTCCTTCCAAGGAGTGGCTGGTAGGTTTGAACCACCAGCCTTCTGGTTAGCAGTCAAGTGCCTTAGGCACTGTGCTACCAGAGCTCCCATGGAAGTTAAAAGAATTTTTAAAATCTTTTGGATAAGCACCATACAACCAAGAAATTCCAATTTGGAGTCAGCCAAATCTGGGTTTGAAGCTTGGCTCTGTGACTTACTAAAGGTCAGTTTCCTCATAATACTTATCTTACACAGTTGTTAAGATTTTGAAAGAGAGTATGCAGAGGTTTCAGAGAAATGGTAGGCTAAGCTAACAGACACCTCTTCTGTTATAAACACACAGAAATGGTGCATTAAATGACAGGTTTAAATATATATATAGGTGGGTTTAGAAGAAACCAGAGGGAACTCCAAGCCTGATCAGTGAGCCTGTGTGTGTGTGTGTGTGTGTGTGTGTATGAGGGGGCGGTGAATAGGAAGACTGGACCATATACAGGCCCTAGTGACCATGAGTGGAAGTTAACATGTACATATGGAGCGCTGGAGACGTGGTCTTGGGTCTAGAAAAGATAGAGGACTCTAACAGACACTTGGATAAAGCTAGGACCCTAGAAGAACTGTTCCTTCAGTGGAAGTAGACTAAGTGCACCCCTTGCCCCCAGCCCGACCCAAAGAAGGGCTCTGGGCAGGGAAACAAAGTTTCCTGTTAGAAATTAAAGCCCTAGGTTTTGACTTTGTGCCATTACAGCATCCAAACTTAAACTGCCTCTATGATACGGAATTCTCCAAGCCAAAAACTGTATAAATGGGTTCTGGTCTGGTAAAATCCAGAAGGAAAAACAAAACCAATCTTGATCAATAATTTCACAACCAAGGGGCATTAAACACACATAAAAAGGCCAGTCCTAACTGAAATGAGCCTTAAAATTACAAACCAAATGAAAAAATGAACAACAGACATAATAAATAGGAAACTTAGCAACTCCAAGAATCTGGTATAACAGCCTGAAAAAGTATCAAATATGTACACTTAAAATGAACAAAAAAGATTGAAGAGATTACAAAAAAAGGACTGTCATAAGGAAGGAATGGAACACTGAAAAACAGAACAGCTAAAGTTAAAAAGAACCACCAAAAACAAGTATACAGGGTGAAGGTGGGGGACGGACCCAAACTAACAGCCATTGAGTCAATTCTGACTCAGAGCAACCCCTCCTTGGGCTTCTGAGGTGGTATCTCCATGGAAGTAGATTGTCCAATCTTCCTTCCAAGGAGTGGCTGGTGGGTTTGAACCCTTCTGTTTAGCAGTAAATGCTTTAGGCACTACACCACCAGAGCTCCTGAACTTAGTATGAAGAAGGAGAAAAGAATCAAACTTGGACACAGTTGAAAATTACAGAATTGGAAGGTAGACCTGAGGCAATTACCCAGAATGCAGCACAGATTTGAAAAGGTGGGAAATAACAACAAATTGGAAATCAATGAGAAGGTACAACATACATCTAACAGGAATCCTAGAAAGAATAGGGAAAATTGTGATAAAGAATGTTCCAAGAAGAATAGCTAAGAATTTTCCAGAATTGATGAATAGATACTCGTATTTGAAAGGTCTGGGTGGACTCGATGGCAAACAACAACAACAACAACAAAAGTCAGAAGCAAGTACTAGGAAAATTAGACGAGTTCCCCACAGAAGTTATCTGAACCAAGTTCTAAAGTATGTGTAGGCATCAATAGCTGTACAAATAAGGGGGACTAGAAGAGAACTGCTTGTCGCAGGCAGACAAGGAGCAAAAAGGCTAGAGGAATGGTGTACTTCGTGTGGGACGTGTAAGCAGTTCTGTAGTTGCTAAGCACTGCTGGAGCCTAAAGGGGAAAGGGATGGTTGGGGGCATGTAGAGAGGCTTTCTAAGCTCTGGTGGTGTAGTGTCTAAGGCATCTGACTGCTAACCAGAAGACTGGCAGTTCAAACCCACCCACTCCTCAGAAGGAAGACTGAGCAATCTACTTCCATAGAGATAGGGCCTTAAAAACCTAAAGAGGGGTTGCTATAAGTCAAATCGACCCGACAGCAGTGAGTTCGGTTTTTTTGTTTGTTTTGGTTTATAAGCTGTTTTAAGGAGCTTGGACATCATCCAAGGGCTGTGGGAGGCTAAGAAAGCGTTAAGCGGAGGGAGAACATTTGCATCTAGAAAGGTCTGTAAATGCTGGAGGAAGGCAGAGACAGGGACTAGAAAAGTAGAAAATTGATGAAAATAGTGGAAATAGATCTGATAGCACCTAATGATGTGATGTGGGGAGTGGATGAGAAGGAGGAGTGTCAAATAATACTCTCTTTCTGGCACGGGAAATTGCATGGAAGATGGTATATAGGCCAGCCCTATGATAGGGAACACAAGAGAAAGTGTGAGGGAAGGAGCGGTTAAGTTCAGTTTGAGACGTAGACTTTGGCATAACTATCCAAGTAAAAGTGTCTAAGAGGCAGAATGGGCTTCGAGGCAGAATGGGCTTCAATTCAGAACTGTACCTCTGTTTTCTGTCTGTAAAATGGGTTGATAATTTAAGCTAACCATCCAGAGCTCCAGGAACAGAATCTAAAAACAGGATGCATGCACTCATACATGTTAGCTGTACTATTATATGGGTCTGGAAATTAGAAGGACGAGCTGGACCCCTGTGCCACCCAGGTATTTTGGCTCTTCCTCTACCTGCTCATGAGTTGAGAGGGGAAGGTCCCAAGTTTTATTGAGACACTTACAAATGAGTTCAGACGTCTGCCTGGTCAGCTATCACGTAGCATTTACTTTTTGTTTTCCTCTGAACCCCTTAAGTTTCCATTGAGCCCTGCTCCTCCCAATGGCCGCATCCCCCTTTGTGGAACGTTGCTGCTAGTTCTCTTGGATTCCGCCGTGCCAGCCAGGCAGTGGCATCATTTCTGTGATGCCCATCATACACAACAGGTCCCACTGCTACTGTTGGGCATAGTTCCTCCTATCAGACACTGAAACCATTTCATCTACATCAGCACCTTGACTGCTGCCACCCACCGGAGGGATGGAGACTTCCAGAAGCCAGTTTGTGGGATGGATTGTGGCCAACTGCAGGACAAAGACTCTCCATTTGCATGTTACTTTCTGCTGAAAAAAAAAAAAAAAATACTAAAGAGGGAATGCATGAGCCTCCAGTTCTCAGTGAGGACAGTTGTTATACTTAATTACAGGTTCTTCTCTACAGGAGACAGTCGTGAGGGGTTCTTGGGTTGTGAGCAGGGTGAACCTGAGTGAAAAACACCATATTCAGTATTTTTCACGCTCTGAGCACAAAGGGTCATGGACAAACCAAGACAAACTTAGTGTTTCCGCTTTGGTTGAATCCTCTCCTAAGAGACTCCTCAGTACTTCATGCAGATAGACTAACTGCAAGCCAGCCTACAATCTGCTACAATTAGCCAACTATACCTAAACTCCAAGCATGGGCATAGCTCAGTTCAAACTTGTCAGCCCACTGTAGAAACAATAAGGTAGGAAATTAATCTTTGGTTCCCAGCACACCTAACCCTTCCATGTTAGAAGTGACATGGAGATTGACAACCAGATCATGCAGACCAGAGTGTCCTGTTGGAAACTAACAACCACTGAAATTAATACGGGCTCACCACTCTACCAAGCAGCTCTGGTAGCACAGTGCCTAAGGCATCAGAGTACGAACCAGTCTCTACCAGCTCTAGCAGCCTCGGTGATAGAAGGAATACGGAATGGAATACGATTACTACCTCACCACACCAAGAAGTTACATCTGTGAACTGGGAAAAAAAAAAAAAAAAAAACAGTCACAACATTGTTGGCAAAAGAAATACTCTAGGAATTTTGATAGAACGTCAGATAAACGTTCCTGAATTTTACTGGGAAATGGTAGAAGCATTCCTAACCTGGGATGCATCTCCTCAAGATGTTTTTGGGAGGAAAAGGATGGCACGTGCTGAGGATCCCTAGAGTCAAAAACGGTCTCACAGTTGTCACATGACAACCCCAGGGTGGTCCTGAAGGAGCAGAATTGAAGGTGGTCTCAAGTCCTGTAGTTCAATGAAGACTATACAGCTGTCATTGGAGAATCTCTGCACAGCTGGTAGGTGACCTTGGGTTTGTGCCCAAGGAAAGAATAACAAGCAGAAAGGAGCCATGCTGTTTGACCTGGCATTTCAGTACAGCTCATCAAATATGCATTAAGCGTTTACTGAGCTCTGGTGCCATAGTGGATAAGGCATTTACCTGCTAACCAGAAAGTCAGAAGTTCAAACCCACCAGCTGCTCCACAGAAGGAAGATGGGGCAGTATACTTCTGTAAAGATTTACCACCTTGGAAACCACATGGGGGTCACTATGAGTCACGGTCAATGCCATGGCAAGGAGTTTGGTTTTGGATTCTTTACATACAAGTGGAGTCCCTGGGTGGTGCTAATCGTTAACGCGCTCCGCAGCTAACTGTACCCAGATATGCCTTGGAAGACAGGTCTGGCTATCTACTTCCAAAAAAAAAAAAAAAGTCAATGAAAACTCTATGGACCACATTTCCATTCTGACACATGTAGAGACGCCATGAGTCTATGACAGCTGGTTTCAATCTGAGGGATAGTTTTGTATTTTCTGAGAGGGCTCATGCTTTCTGATAAGTAGTGATGAGCATAGGTTACAAATAGCCTCCATCTCTTCCCTCCCTGCCCCACCGCTGCTTGGAGTGCTTTAATTAGCAAGATACTAGCAGATTAAAGTCTTAGCCATTCTCAGTTACACCAGTGACCTGAAGAAAACCACAACCACTGAGAAGCTGCTAAAATATTAAAATATTATCCAAACTTGTGTAAGAACACCAGTGATCTTAAATATAGCACCCCGAAAGTGAGCTGTATGCAAGAAAAAAAGTAACTCCATTACAAACTGATTGGGTTCAAATGTGTTCTAACCTTCTGGCTGTGAGTGTCGGAAGCATCAAGTGTATCATTTCCACACAGAAGTGTAGCAGCTCCTTGTGGGAGAAGCTAAAATAGTCTTCCAGATGTAAATTAAGAACCATTGGTTTGCCCTTCAGACTTGCCTCGTTTTATGTTTATAGATAGGATGTGGTAGCCATTGAAGCCACACAAAATGCAAACGTACCAAAAAGCAAACCCTTCACAGCACTTAGTGCCTGTTGAGATAAAAAGATGCATCGAAAGGATTCTTTTTGCTTAATGAAACATTCTGGGTTGAGTCTCATTGGACTCTGTTTTCAACAGGAGGTTGTGTTCAAGGGCTGGAATTTGGAAATTCTACTACAGCTGTGTAATCAGTCAGCTCTGATTAATATAAATGAAACAGGACTCTTGACAAAACCCTGGTGTGCTTATAATTTAAAAATTAGAAGTGAGTGGGGGAGAGAGGCATAGATAATGTGAAGGCCATTTCCCCCGATATTAGCCTAGTGTATTAATACAGGAAGTAGTCGAGTGCATCTGATGGAGTGCTTTCGTAATCGGAACCATCTGTCCCTGGAGCTAAAGCGGCCACCATTTAATCCAGCTTACGGCTGACAACCCCCTCTGCTCTACGTTATGCCCTTGAATCCATGAGGCTGAGCACAGGCCTTTGCTCCTACATGTGTCTCTGTGGTTGAGGTTGCCTGGTTTGTTGGGTGTTTTGTTTTGTTTCTCAGGTTTTGTCTGAGTCTTTGTTTTGCTTTTCTGGGTCAGAAGCAATGGCTTTCTTTGTGAAAAATATGATAAGTAACCAGGTAAAGAATTTAGGATTTGGCGGTGGGTCTGAAGAGAAGCATGAGGAAGGTGGTCAGTCGGATCCTGCAGCAGCTCAAGGCATGAGTAGAGAGGAATACGAAGAGTATCAGAAGCAAATGATTGAGGAGAAGTGAGTACCTGCAAATGCATTTCCCTTTAAGAGCAAAAGGGCTCCTCCCAGCCAGACCCTCTGTGGCCCCCCCCCCATGTCTTTCCCCCGTGTTTTTACCCTCCCCGCCCTAAGGGAAGTTGCTTTCCACTAAAGTGAACAATTTTGCAGCATCAATAGCTGCCATGTCCTTCTTGTATGAATGGAAAAAGCAAATAAAAAGTTACCTCTATGTCCTTTGTAAAGCCACTTAACCCTTCCATGACCGAATCATTTTCTACTTTGTTTTTTGTTGATACCATACATTTTCAGTAATGGAGAGCATGCTAAAACCAAGAGAAAAGGAATGTTTAAGGTCATATTGATTTTGACACAATGATGTAGAACACATATCTCCCAAGTGCACTTCCAGTGGCAGGACTGGTGAGGTGAGGCCCCTTTCTTCAGATCCATGCAGTTAGTTATTCAGCTCCTCACCATGCAGAGCACATACTACAGCTCCCAAGAAACCTTAGAGGCTGAAGATGTTGATGGGAACTGTATGTCCCTTGGGTCATAAAAGGGTTTACACTTTCTGGTTTGGTCACATTTTAATCAACAGCATTTTAACCAATCAAATGAAAACTGTGAGTGTAAGTCTCTTTACAATCTTTCTGCAGTTCACCTTCCTAACAAGTAGAAAGGTTTTAAACCATGAGAATTCAGACTTCATGCCTAGAACAGGGCCTTAAAGACCACAGAAGTGGGGAGGGGGGCTGGCTGCTCAGGGGGCAGTGAGTTTCTGTTCAGGGTGACGAGAAAATTCAGAAATGGACAGTGTGGTGGTAGATCACCATGATGAAGGTAGTTACAGGTTGTTTAAAGTGAAAGCACAGTGGTTTCTCTGTTGTGAACAATAGCTTTGAAAGAATAGACTATTTAGTTCAGAGAGAAAGAAAAAAGAACATATAATACAACCTCCTTGATGTAGCATGTGTGAAAAAAATCCAGAAAATACAGAATGGCAATTAGCCTAGTGTCTAAAGCATTTGACTGCTAACCAGAAGGCTGGTGGTTCAAACCCACCAGCCACTCAGAAGGAAGGTTGGCCGATCTACTTCCGTAGTGATACTGCTCCTTCTTAGGGAGGGGTTGCTATGAGTCAGATCCAACTCCACAGCAGTGAGTTTGGTTTAGTTTAATTAAGTCATAAGACTTGGCTTCTCAAAGATTGTGAATAAATGTGGGGACTATTAATTATGAAAATTTTTAAACATACAGGAAACTGTAACAGTGCAATGAATATAAATGCCCCCAATGTAAATTTAACAGTTAACATTTTTCGTATTTCCTTATAGGTAGGTAGGTAGGATAGATAGATACATAGAAAGATAGATAGATGATAGATGCATAGATAGATAACCATTTTAAGGTAAATTACAGACCTCATGATACTTTACCCCTAAATATTCCAAAAAAAATGACATTCATCTGGCTCTATAAAATGTATTACAAATAAAACATTAGCAACATTTTAATTTAGTTGGATATTTCGGACATGAATATCACAAACAGTTTTTCACTGCTGAAGATTGAGCCTTGAAGTGTAATGTAAAGTTTTAAGGCTTAAGGTAGAATTAAAGACTCTTAATAATCACTGTGAATTGAAGCATTGGTTTAGAGGTTGAATGCTCATCATATGTTATAAAAGAAAAATACTGCTTTTTTGCCACGATGACTGTTTTACTAATGATCAATTACATAGTATTTGCCTAAGTCCTCTCACTAAGATGATTATAGGTGGAAAGGTTAAAGACTTGGAAGAATCTAGGAAAGTTCAAAGACCTACATTTAGTGGAAAGTTTGTCTATTTTTCTGAAAGAAATCATGGCTTATAATCTACCTAGAATATTCACTGGAGAGGAAGGAGCCCAAAGAAGAGGAAATGCAGCTGCATCAATGATGTGGGTGCGGGAGGGGACTCAGGCAGATGACATCACTTTCCTTGACTATTGGCTGGTTATGTCTGTGGCATGAGAATTTATACTAACTGTAAACTTTACAAGAAAAATAAGTACAATGAAAAAATAGAACAATATCACCCAATGTTCTCAGTTCAAGTGGGCTAATGAAAAGGCCAGAAATTTAGACTGCACACCTGATCATGTAAAGTATCATTTAATATGTCTTCTCTGCTGCCGTAGTGCCTAAGGCATTTGACTGCTAACCAGAAGACTGGCAGTTCCAACCCACGAGCCACTCCTCAGAAGGAAGACTGGGCAATCTACTTCCCTAGATATACCACCTCGGAAACCCAAGGAAGGGTCGCTATGAGTCGGATCCAACTTGACGGCAGTGAGGTTTTTTTTAAGCAATAAATCTGGTTGCAGATATGGCATCTGTTTGATCTCCTACTGTCCTAGTTTTCCTTAATTTTGTATCCAGACAGATCAAAGCTCAAAATAACCAAATGGTATGGTCAGTCGGTAGATTGGGTTATTTGCCAACTAACTGGCTTTTTATGCATGTGAAAATATTATAAATCTATATAGTCACTCAATTTAAGAGCTCACAATAGGACAATGGGTCCAGTCTGCTTCCCCATGGCAAGAGGGGCACCACCCCAGTGCAAGCTGGAGTTGTCAAGAGCTTCATCATCTAGAATGCAACATAAAGAAATAGACATCAAAAATGGTCCGTCACGAGTCACCTATAGAGAAAGCAATAGGCATTATAGTAGATATGATTATTAAAAGGAATTTTAGCGAGTGAAACCCTCCTAAACCCATCCTCATCACTCTAGAAAGTGGTGGGATTGATTCTCGAACTCACTGCTATCGAGTCGATTTAATTCATAACGACCCCTCCTTGGGTTTCTGAGGTGGTATCCCTGCAGAAGTAGATTGCCCAATCTG